CCGAGCGCTGATTCAAAACGGCACGTGAGACAATTATGTGACTTTAGCGTTATTTTGTGACATCCCGGTTGGCCCATGAAATCCAAAAAACCAGGGAACGACAGTATAAGTAGCTCTTTCCACTATCCCATCCTTATGTAACTCCTGCTTTCTCTACAAGATATCGGAGATTTCCGGAAGTGACTGGTATTACACCGGATTGCACCAGTTGCATTTGATTGTCGGGAAAACCCATATCTTTGCAATACAACTACAATCTAATTGTGATCACTGGGTCTGAACCCAGTAATCAATTCCCATTTAGGAGTATCTGAAAATCATTATTTTTTGGCTTTGTAAGAGACAAAATAAATTACAATTTTTTATTCTGTAGTAATGGTATTTGTTCTTACATGGATTTGAACCCACGGCCACTTCACTTCCAAGAGCTGTTGCAACCAGGTCTTTTTTGAATATAATGTCAGAACTGTGACCTTCAGAGTGATCAGAGTTCGGAGTATGGAGGTGGGTTGAGGAGCAGAACATAGTATGAGGTTGGGAATTGACTTAGCTCATACATTAGGCCCTTCGGCGGACCTTGGTCACTAACTTGACGGACCGAATGGGTGAGAGTAGAGTACAAAAGGTGGAGAGGAGTAATGGTCCTTCAGAGAAGGACCAGAAAACTTGTAAGAAGACTTGGATAAAGGTGGGAGGAACTAGTTGGTATTCAAACTGCAGGAACGGAGTACGGGGGCTATGGCTTATATACTATCGGAGGGATTGGAGTTCATAAGGAGTAACCCGTAATGTAGGTATGGAGTCCATGCAGACAATTATCTAGCAAGGGGAAATCATATGTGAGGGGAGTGTACCATAAGGTCTCAATTACAGAGTCCACAAGGAGTATGAGAACATGTGGAGGAAAAGTATGGCGGAATAAAGGTCTGGTGCAGAAGAATCAGAGCGGATATCTGGAGTACCATGTGGGGGTGAGGAACAGGGCTATGCTGAATGGCAGAGCACAAGGAGTGTAATTCAAAGATTTGGGATTTCAGACTTGAGGGTCTCTGACTTTTCAGAGGTCCAGAAATCATAGCCTGTGGCATACATATAACATATAACCACTCTGTCAAAGAGCTGATATTAGTATAGAAGTATACATTATTATAACTAGCCATTTTTCTGGACTGCTTGTAATTTACATAAGGAGTGATTGCGGCATGACGCAAGTATCAGCAAAGGTTGACTTGTAACAAAGATGTTTGTGAGGCAAAGCTAACTAAAACAAAAACAAAACCTATCTCTCAGCACTTGCAGAGAGGAGGAGGTTAATGAGTCTCAGATATCGATAGATATGAGAGAATATACATGGATATGTAGGGTATTTATAGCTAATTGTCTATCTCTTCAGACCAAAAAAGGAATAAAAGAAAGTGGTCTGAAGATGGGATTGACAAATAAGAAAAATAAAAACTATGGTACAACTTTAGAGATTAATAAGCAGGTGAGAGAATGTACTTATAATAGATTTGTCAGGCATGTTCAGGAACCATATTCCCATGATAAGGTATGATCCTGAACAAGGCCTTTATTAATATATCCAGGCACTGACGGAACTTGGAGCTGGTTAGCGAGATCTCAGCTACTAGTCCTTACCCATTGTGCTGGCTGCCTGGGAGTACTACCCATCCTCTGATCTGCGATATGAAGTGGTATTTATAGTTAAGAAAACCCATTAGGGCAATAAAAAGGAGAATAGCAAAGGACATCTCCAGCCCTAAGGCTAGAGGTGTAATGGGGAAAGTGTTTGAAAACCAAGACATAAAAAGGAAGAAGTATGGAAAAGTAAATGATCCTGAATATGTTAGAGTATGAAATAAAATAACTACTTTGTCTGATGAGTGCACTTTGTAGTAGTGGTGCCAACTTCAGTACTGATGGTAGTGTCAGAACTGTGACCTTCAGAAAAATGGAGTTTGGAGATGAAGTGGAGAGCAGAACAAAGTACTAGGTTGGGGATTGACTTATCTCATGCGCTAGGCCCTTTTGCGGACCTTGTTCCCTAACTTGTTGGAGTGAACGGGTGAGAGTAGAGGATGAAAGGTGGAATGGAGTAAAGGTCCTTGCAATGGTGACAGAGATGCAGTGGAGAAATGGGTTGGAGAAGGAGTAGGCAGCTACAATTTCTATATACATCAATTTCAAGACATTATTACTCACCTCCGTCTTTTCCTTTTATAGGTGGATAGCCACAAATGCATTGGCCAAAATTAAAAGTAGTAACCTGGTGCAGCCCTTACTAGGAGCTATAGTATTTGCGAAGGTATCATTGCCACGCAAATACATTAAAGACTTTATTGTCTCTAGCAGCTTAGTTACAGAAACTGCTATCGACTGGGTACTAGGAGAGCTATCATCAGTGATGGCAGTCAGTGTAGACAAGGTCATCCACACCAAGCATCTATCATTTGTGGAGTTGATTTTGGATCCAAACTTATGTCCTGACACATTTTGCATACACCGTGATACAAGGAGCACAAAGAATCTGGATATGTTGCGATTGTGCATGCAGATTATGCAGGACCCAAAGGAGGGATTAGGGCTTAACATCTGTGGGCTGGAGACATTGTATCTCCCCAACGGTGATGTAAAAGATATGGCCAAGCGTACTAAGGATAATACACCTCACAATTTGTATTACTTATTTCAATATTGGGGGGAGCACCTTGTTAACACAAAGCATCATTGTCTGGCAGCACCAGCCTTGCAGACATGCTGCCAAGGTTTTTTGAACATGATTTACTGCACTGGCTTGAAGTCATGTCATTGTTGTGTAATGTGCCAACTGCACTTAATAATAAAACTAAGTGAAACTACAACAGATGTTAGTTTAAGGTGATCTCTTATAAATGTAATGTAACATGCCTTAGCCGCTGCCCAAGAGGCTATAGAAACAACTGAGGTATTCCTATACTAAACCCCCTACTACTTATAGTTGGAGGTGCTACTCGCTACAGTATAATGACTCCTAGGAGTATAATTATGCTCCTAGGAGAACAATGGTTACTTCATGGAGTGGTGGCTATGCTCCATGGAGAACAATGGCTGCTTCGGCAGAGACTGGGTTTATCTGGTTTTGTCACTTAATGTTTTGACTGCTGCAGCATCTTCTCTCATAGTAAGTCAACTAAGTTTCAACTACCATCATGAAATATCATAATGAATCTGCCTTTATCTGTTCACAGGTCATTGATACCAAGTTAGCACAATTTGCACTGGATGCATGTGTCTTTATTTCCAAGTTCAATGTCTCAAATATTGAGAGTCATACATATCTATCTCTGCCATGGACACCAGATAACTCACTGGAATCCAGGACATATTTGGCACATTTTCAAAGCACTCTTAAAAGTGTTTATACACAGATCCCCACCCTATCAGCACCTGAACTAGTGGGCACCAAACTTGAAGACAGTACAACTTCAGGGGCTAGATATCTCAGCTTTAATGATATCCACTCTCTGTTGGTTCAATAAGTGGCCCAAAGTCCTCTGGCTGTCTATAGCTTGGCTCTCTCAGCACATCCATTGCAGAAGTCAGTTATTTCAACATACTTGAGGCAAATATATGCCTTATATGGAGCAGATGGTACCAAAAGCAATACTTGTATATAGTGAGACCTAAAGTCTTACTGCCAATCCAGGGATATCCCTCAAGTGATTGTAAATGCAACAGGTCATTTATCAGAAGGCAATGTTTTCTGCTTACCTGAAGCAGATGTATATGTTATACACAAAAAATTGTGCTAAAAGCACTGCTGATATGTTTTCAGATGTTTTGTCTTATTGTGCATCCAATGATGCCCCCCAAAATGTTCTGAATGCAATTCACAATTATGCAACTGACAAGAAAAACCACCAAAGGCAGAAAATGTAACAACCAAGAGTTTGTTACTCTGGCGCACAACTCAGACAAGCTATAGAGAGAATGATGAGGGAGTGGTTACCCTTTGGGCTTCAACAAGTTAATTGTGAGGATACAACAGGAGGACTCGTTGAGGAGTCTCCTTGATCTATTGGTCTATATATACTACTACAGGTTTGTTTGTACATGTGTACTGTACAGTTGATAGAGGCAGTGGCTGATGATGTCATGGGGCCTAGCCCATGTGACCAGCTCCACTGCGTGAGAGACTTGTAGCTAAAATAAAAAGAGAGGCAGCGCAGGGCGAGAAAGAGGAGTTTGAACAAAAGGGAAAATGCTGCATGGCACAATGTGAGAAAACTATAGTAAAAGGTTAAAGAGGAGAATGAAAATTGAAGGTCCAAAAATGTGTTATTGTAACAGAAAAGTCTGCTCATACATATTTTCAGGTTTAAGCTCTCTAATCCAAAGAGAGATGAAATACTTGACAGTCAATTCCATACCTTTTATGCAAAATCATTTTTGAGTTCTGACCTACCTAAACATCATTGGATTTAGGAATCTGATGAAATTAGAAATAAGTGGGAGCACCATATCCGCTTTGGCAAGCAAGCTGATAGCCGAAAACATCACCACCCTATGTTCAAAGTTAAACAGGAGCACCTGCAGCTGTATATTCCAGCTGATCAAAATTATATTGTCAAAGATGCTGGAACAAATGAAATTGATATGTCGGTTATGCGCAACTTTTGTGAGCATGCTGGTGTCCTTAAATGGATAAACAAGGTTGTCACAGAGGTTACAGTGTATTAAAAAAGTATTAGAGTAAGTATTAGTGCTTAAACTGCCTTTTCACTGTCTGATTTTTACTAGCTTGAAGATCCTGGAAAACTTGCCCAAATTGTATTTTCTGCTGGATCAATGAGAAAGCCAAAGTTTGACTGGGTTAAAAATCTGCTGTCAAAGTCACTTCTTATGGATATTATTAAGGATATAGATCTCAACCAATTCCTGGAAAAGAATCAAATGTGTAGGATGGATGCCAGGGATCCTAGTGATGCATTTGGAAGATATGCTATAAAGGCTAGGGATGATAGCTTTTATGAGTTTATCCATGTTGAGTTAGCTCCACCTGGGGGTGTTTTTGTATAGAATTATGCTAGAGCATCACATAATGAGCACCAGCCTCACAAATATGCTTTGGCTTTTACCACACATTGTAGTCCCCAGAGTAAAGGTGGTCACTTCTATAATTGCTCTTTATAAAATTGGCATAGAAAGTGCTAGAAACCAACACCTGCATTTTGTCAGACTGGCCTTGCCATAGTCATCCCCCAGGCTTCTAAGTGCTTGGAAAACTTATATGAATGGCACATTTACCCTAGCAGAAGCAGAAGAGCAAGCAGTTGAAATGGACTCAGATTCAGAGAATGTAGGGATAATTGAGTGCCCACTTGATATTGATTCTTGTCCAGTTTGTACCTAGTTACACAATATTAAGTCAATATGTATATTATTTAGCTTTAACATCACCCAAATCTAAAGCAATGTGTCTTTGTAGAAATACAACAAGCTTTAAAACTGTTATTTCTGATATAGGTACTGAGACATTATTCTATCTTTTTACCAAATCATTTATTTGCAGTAACAGGTGTATGGACAATGTGGTGTTTAAACTGGGAAATATAGAGGTATGTTACAATAGTGACAAGGAGTGGTGCATCAGAAAATGTACAAGCGTCTTACCAATCTTACTGGTCTTATCTTTATTTTATAAGCTGCTACACCAAGGCCACTAAGCTCCTCAAGACAGGTAAGTAGGTTAAAACGTAGACACCTGTCCGAGAAAAATGATATTAAGGCCAGGCATATAGCTATAAAGTAAATTAAAGTATAATTGGCTGGTAGGGAAAAACAGGACAGGCCCATTTGACAGGTTGACTCAGTAGGGGTTGAGAGTTTGGGATAGTGTTGGGACTTAGCAAAATTTTGCAGTTTTGTACTTTTATATCTACATATATCTTAATAGGCTACAACATTGATTTGAAAACAGACCTACTTATTCTACCTTGTGAGATCTATTGCTATAATATCATTTTAAACACTTAAGACAGCAAAAAGGACACTTTAAGTAATATGTACATTTTTTAATGCTAGCTGTACTTGCATAGCTTTCTTCTCTATCAATAGCTTCAATAGGTACTCTAGGGTGGATTATTCTGTTAATTATATCACTGCACCCTATTGCTTCTCTGCAGTATGCTCATCCTGAGAGTGTTCCAAATATTACAGCAAAGGTTTTAAACTTCCCATTTGAAACATTGGAGTATCTCATACATTGTGGTCAGATGGGTCAGCAGGATCTGTGGGCTGAAAAAGAAACTTAAAAGTGAGAGTACTGAGTACACACAGAATAAACATTATACTGGCAAACACTTAGTGGTATATAACCAATGAGAACCCCACCTCCATTACCAGAGGTATTTCTCTCAGTATAAATGCAGGCCAAATTATGATGAAATGCTTCTAAACCTATTTTGTGACATTTTCTCTGCCAAGCCAAAAAGGAATTGGGAGGAAGCAATGAGGAAGATTTTTATCTTTACCAAAGTAATGAGGCTAAAAGCCCCCAATATCTTGGCCCTAAGGTAATTAGGGTATTGGTCCTTAGTCCCTATACAAATACTAGGAATGAAAGCCATACTAGGATAATATCCAGGCCATTGAAATTAGACAGAGTATTGTTCCTGTCTATGTAAATATACTAGGGACTAAACCCATATTAGGATAATACCCTGGTCCTTGTAGCTAATTAAGGGATTAGCCCTTGAGGCCATGATATTGTCCCAAAGTAGGGATTGAGTCTTATCCGACGCACTGGTTGAGGCCATGGTACTATCCCAATGCAGGGACTAAGTATTATCCCACTCACCAATTGAGACATTAGTACTCTCCTAATGTAGGGACTGGATCTTATCCCACCCACTGGTTGAGACCATGGTTGTCTGATTCTATCTTCAATTATAAGCCTTATTTTAAATATTGGTCAAGAGTCCTGTTCTCTAGAATGTCATGCAAATTGTGAGATTAGGCTCTATTTATATCTTGGTTGGGAGCTTTGTGTCTAGGGCATTATCCTAACACAAATACTGGACTTCAACCCCCGCATAATGGCTAAGAAGAAATACTGGGCCTCATCTCATATCTTTGTTGAGGGCCTTACCCCGTAAAACATTATACCAATATTAGAATTAGGCTTTCTTTCATAACCTGGTTGAGAACTTGGGATAATACCAATGCAGTTATCTGTCAAGAGAATTATCCTTCATGTGAATATTCAAGTTTAGGGCCAGGCTTCATTCATATTGAAGGCTTTGTTCATGTAGGGTATTATACCAATGGAGATACTAGGCCTTATTATACATTATAGGCCAATAATTCATCCCCTAAGGTATTGTATAACAAAACTGGATAAACCCAGTCTCAGCTAAAGCTGCTAAGCAGACATTATTCTCCTAGGAGCTATTATACCTAAGCAAGTAGCACCTCTGAATATAAGTACAGCAGTAAAAAGCTTTTTGCTATATAGTAGAGGGGTGTGTACATATGTGCAAATAAAGACCATTATAGCACCTATAGCACTTATAGTATGATCATAGTGACTATAGTGTTATATGAGCAATAAAAGCAATAGGAGCAACAAAAGCAATAATAGTATTATAGACATAAAATTTAAAATGCCATATATGACTACTATAATGTTTGATATGCATATTTGCTACTAAAGTTATTGAGATAAAATTTGTGACAAACATCCAGAATATCACTATAAGTCCAATGATGAGGATATGTATCATGCAAACCACCAAAAGCAGGGATAAGTTGACAAACCTGTCTAATACTGGACAAAAGGATGATTTGTCCTGGAGGAAAACCTTCAGTGTTTCGAGGTACCTTATTAACAGAGTACATCAAGTGGTACTTTTCAGCTGTGGATTTGAGGTTGCTATACCACTCTACATATGCCAAATGATGTTTTGACCAATTATTGGGGGATGCATGGAAACCGTATAGTGTTTTAGGTAGTTTAAATATTACTCTTAATCTCCCAATTCTTATTTCTTGAATACAGTCATTAGTATTAGACATGCTTGTGGTTATAGGGTAGGAGAAACATTACCTTTTATGCCTGTAGCCTCACAATCAGGAGAGTTCATCACAACCACTGTATCAAACTGCAGCAATAGATTTTTTTTCCACTTGGCCTGGCTTTGACAGAATCTACCTGGTTATTCTCCAGGTCGACATCATTGCCTAGGCTACTTAAACAGAGTTTGAAGCCATGGAAGATATTGAGATTTTAAAATGGAAGGGGTAGTAATCTGGTTTCACAACATGTATTTGGGTGAGTTAGTTTACTGTTAAGGAAGACTTTGAGTGCTGATTCAAATCCAGGGCACTGATGCTTCTCCATGACGTCCAAAGTGCTTTGCTGACATTTATTAGGATACTTGGCAACAACATGTCTTTGGTCTTGGAATTTGGAGTGAGGGAATTTGTTTTCTTCATTATCCATGGTAAAGTCAATATGGAAGCGCTCAAACATCTCGGTGTTGTAATTGTCGGTGGTTCCAAATCATGTGATGAAATGGCAGTAGTGGAGGAGAGCGTGGAATTTAGGGATGTTCAGGTATTCTCTCATGTCGAGTTGTACCAATATATTTTTATGTTTGTGGAAAGTGTCCAAAGCATCTGAAAGGTAGCCCAGCATGGTGTCATCATGTTGTTTCTTTCCACTGCAATGTTCACATCTTCTTACCTAGTCTGGACTTATTCATCTGTCCTCATTCTGCTATTTTTTTCCCCAACAAAAATGTGTTCTCACTGTATCAAAACACAAGGTTCCAGAAAAATGAGCTAACCTCTCCCAACTTTCCCTACCCCTTTACTGCTTTTGCTCTCTCTGAAAGTCCTCTCCACAAGGGCATCATTCCTTCCATTTCTTTAAGGCCAGCCTTGGACATTTCCCCTCAATTGAGGAAGCACATACCTCTTGTGAATTATATTATCTCCAATATTTCTATCACACCCTCTTCTCAAAATCGCGAGAATTACAGCACTAACTTGCACATTGTGGATGAAGACAATTATGAGTCAACATCAGTACTCTATTCAAGTTGATTTTCCCATTTGTGCCCACCCATCACACCTTTTGTGCTGAGTTGCCCAGTCTGATGCTGGTGTTTGGTCTGCAAAGTTGAAGGCTATGTTTGGTTACAACAATTTTGTAAGAAAAGTGTTGTTGAGCAATTGAGGGCAGTGTTTGATTTGCAAATCACTAGAAACTGCAGGAGTGCTTGCACACAGTGAGTTTATTTTCATCTGTTGGGAACAACTACCTTCCTCTTCTCAATTCCTCACAACCACCTTGAACTCTTTATTTTTTTGTGCCCTTCCCCTATTTTGTGTCTCTGTTTCAAGGCAGCCTTGGAAGACAGATATTCATGTTTCAAATAGTATAGCACCTCTGGGAGTGAAGAGTGAGATCATGAGAACCACAACCCACGCCAAGATGGAGTCCCAAGATCAATTCTCCCTGCCACAATGTTCTAGTGCCTTCTTTCCTTGGCTCCCTGATGTTGAGCAGGTTAGCTTCAACTACTTGTCTGCACACCTATTGCAGTCTCTGGCCTATCCTACTTTATTCTGGTTTCTGGTAGCCAGTAATATATAGGTATGTGACTCCTTTCTCTCTTCATGTGAAATAGCTGTGTTGTTCTCCCTTAGTACATAACACCCCTCCTAGTGTGAAGCACATTTCAATTCTCTCTTCCTCTGAAGTATCTCTGGCTCTAACGAGGATTGAGATAAGATGAAATAATCTAGAGATATGATAATAATTATGTCTAGAGGTCTAGGGGAAGACAAGATAATATACAGTGTAATGCTGGTATTTGACACAGGATGTAAATGTATGGGAAAAAGCAATACCACTTCCACCGTGCAACCCAAAAGCAGTGAAAATCACCCTGTGTATCAACTCATTTTGAGATAAAAAATACACAGTTATATGTGAAAATTCACCTGTGTGCGATGAAAATCATCAAATATATAATTATGAAACATGTTAAAATCAACCCTTTTATGGCTGAATTCAACTGATACTTTCTGGCTCTATTGTCTTGCCAAATTCAACTGTTCAGCTGGTGATTTTTCTAGTGATTTTCATGTGTGCTATCTTGAGTGAATTAGTCACATTTTTAAAGTGATTTTATACTGTATATGATAGGTTTTTAGCAATGCATACAAAAGTTGATTCTAGTAAGAGATCCAGTTGATTTTAATGTGATTTCTGGGTTGTTATCGCCATTTTTCTTGTCAGACTGCAAGTGTAGAGCACAGTTTTGTAGCATAATACAAGAAGCACCATATATAACATCTATCTTCAGCAAACTCAACCACATACATCATAGAGCTTCACTGTGGTTGTTTGACAAAGTTTAGCATAAATGATGATATGGCTTGTAGATAATTGTTAGTCAGACATTAATAGCTGGTAAAACCACCAATAGTTAACTTTTGTTTCAAGATCTGTAAACACACCTTCTCAGGAATGCATAAATATCTGTCCAGTAAAAGAAGATAGGACACAAGAGCTTTTCTTCTCATTACTAGGACAATACTTATTTGATTTATAAGATATTTGCTGCATTCTATCCCCCAATATAACCAGCAGATCATTTTTGGTGAGAAATCTTTTAAATGATAAAAGCTTGCACATGACGGTTTTTCTTTATCAGTGCACATAATCACACTGACTGGGCACTAGCTCTCAGAATAATAATATTTATTTTCTTAAGTGTTGATCCAAGACTTTGTAACTTTGGAAAATGTCCCAACATTGGAGTCAAATGTTTGGGATGTCTTTCCCATATGTCAGTAGTGAGCCTGGTGACAACACTAATTATAAATATGAGAGAAGCAAGAAAAAGCCTACCAGTATGAGAGTTGTCTTGTCACTGTTGACTGTTTGGTACTGATAGTAGGATTATGATTGCTACCAGGTGGGGAGGTTTGTGGCATGGAGATCATCTAGGTGTTGTTTGGCGGGAGAGGACTTGAAGAGTGACATAGCACTTGAATGAAGCTATATCTCATTGTTGTATATTCAATATACTGAGCTAGCTGCTAAATATGCTCATATAAATTATTTTTCTGCAATTGTAATAGCAATCAAGACAGATGTATTTTGTATATGACATCAACATTATATATATAATGGATAACTATACTAGGACAGCTGTGGCTCAGTTGATGTATTGGTAGCAGCCTTTAGGGCAACCTGTCTTGCTTTAATTTGGGCTAAAGCACCATTTTTTGAGACAAATGTTCAGGTGAATGACTGGCTGGGGAAAAAGCGGCTGGTGGAAGTGTATAATGAACAGCTTATAATCAGAAAACAGCAAAAAAGAAACTCATTGATTTCACCATCTGAGAAGCTTTACAATTTTGTTCTGCTTGTCAGGATCTTTGAAAAGTTTGAGAACAGAGGAATATCATGTTCCTGAATCTGTTACTGTGTTGCTTTTAGTAAAAACTGGGGAGAACATTACCACAAACTGGACCTAGTGAGAACAAAAAGTGGATCAGTGATATGTAAAGATGGAAGGGAAGTACCTATATAGCAATAACTCCTAGGAGAACAATGGCCACTTTAGCAGAGACTAGGTTTATCTGGTTTTGTCACTCCCACTTAAGTGCAACTGTAATCCCATAGCTGTTACGATAACACAATTTTTGGACCTTTAAATTTCATTCTCCTCTTCAACTTTCTTTTGTAGTTTTCACACCCTGTGCCACGCAGCACCACCTTCCATTATTGTTCAAACTCCACTTCTCGCGCTGCACTGCCTTTTCTATTTTTAGATAACAAGTTTCTCACGCAGTGGAGCTGGTCACATGGGCTGTGCCCCATGACATCATCAGCCACTGCCTCCATCAACTGTACAATACATATGTACAAACAAACTGTAGTAGTATATATACCCCAATAGATCAAGGAGACTCCTCAGCAAGTCCTCCTGTTGTTTACCCACAACTAACTCGGCCCTATCCAAAGGGTAACCACCTTTACAGCATTGTCTGAGTTGTGTGCCAGAGTAACTAAAGTCTTGGTTGTAACATCTGGTGGCTTTCTATCAGTTTTTAATTCCCTTCTTTTTAATTCCCTTCTTTTATCCTTTGTTATAATAACAACATTCTCAACCACATCACTTTTAAGCTCCTATTTAACTTTCATTTCCAATACAGACACTTATGCCACACAGCGCTTTCCTCTTTAATTTATTCTCAGGTTGAACTTTTATTTCTCGTGGCTGGCCCTATAATATCATCAGCCACCCCTTTTTATTAACTATATAGTACATATGTACAAACACATTGTAGTAGTATATATACCCACCAATAGATTGAAAACTCCTCAGTAAGTCCTCCTGTTGTCTACCAACAGCTAACTTGGTCCTACCCTAAGAGAGTCTACCAACTCCCTCACTCACTTATCTCTGCTTGTGTTAGTTCTGCACTAGAGTATAAAAACTTGAGTTGTTACACCCTTCTTATACCATGAACAGCTCTTTGATATAGACAAATGAGGCATAACTCCTTGTGGTGCATTCAAAACCTTTCCACAGGCTGGCATGTTCTGGATGCAATTGTGCATAGGCCTTGCAAACATCATTATATACTTGCTCTGAAGTCTTTATTGTTGACAGGAAAAGATTGAGAGAGAAAAATGTGTGAGGGTCCTTGAGGGTGCAAGGATGTTGGGGAGGATTTTGAAGCCGCCCAAGCATTTCTGGATGGATTTGGATATTGGGGTCATCCAAATTTGCATTATTTATGGCTCTGACAAATTTGATAGTGGTTCAAAGGTCTTCAAGCTGTGTGAGATCAGATATTTCTTGTAACTTGGCTTCATCAAGTCCTTAAATATTGTCCGCCACAGGATCATTAGAAAAATCCTTAAGTGATACTCAATTATCTCTGCTGTTTGGAGGCTTAGAGGAATCAGGAGTTTGCAAGCGAGGGGATTGGGGATCTATGTATGTATACTAATATAGATTAGATATATGGAATATGTACAAGATATAGAAAGGCACACAGATGCTTCCTTGACTATATTTTGCTGTGTCTCCACTGCATTGTGGGCTTTTTTTTGTTTCTTGAGTGGCCTTGTAGGTATTGACAAAGATGTTGGAGAGGATGGGATAGATGCTTCTGCTCAAAAGCCAAGTTCTATGGCCTTCTGTGCTATAAATTGTTTGGTTGCATTGGATATAATCCTTTGCAAAATTCTTTGTTCCTGTAGTAGGTTTTTTTGGATATTTTTTTGAGGACACCCTTGCAATACTTGATGCAATCACAGTGAAATTCTTTCAGTTGGGGAGGGATGGGGTCCATGGAGATGTGGTGGAAGAATAAAGGCAAAATGAGACTGAGTAGTGCACTCATGTATTTACACAACTACGCTACGCAGTCTTGTGCTGTCCTCAATACATTGAGTTGTGAATGTCTGAGTGGCGATCAGATCAGATCAAGTTGAAGTCGAGTCAAGTGCCATAATCTCAAATATTTTGAATCGTGAGAATTTTATGCTAAATTGGTCTATTTGTTTGGCAATTGGATATTGCCTGACAATTTATCTAATTCTATTTTCTTCTTTCTGGCTAGGGCTGAGGTGCATATAGCATCACATTGACATTTCTTGTTGACTAATATTCTATCAGCTGTGTCTAGGTTGGAACATTAATAGTAGGTGTTGATCATCAACGCTGAGCTTTTTCTAGCTTTTTTTAGGTTATGAGCCCTGGGCTTTAAGGGCCCAAATAAGCCAGGAAACAAACGCATATACAGTCGGCAACTCATCAGCCTTACAGACACAGCCAACGCAGTCATCAGATCAAGATGGGAAAATTTGATCACATCCCAGAATTAATAGTCACCAAAAACATAAATGGTGTCATCATATTGCAATGCTAGAATATGTGTCATTAATGCCATCTCCTCTTGATCCAAATGCACCAATGTCAACAGAGACACAGTTGATCCAATCATGGATCAAAGACAATGGAAATGCAAAAAGGATCATCCTTCGTAAAGTCAACACCATCATATTGAACATCATTCCGGATGATGTTTCCTTACTAGCTTGTGATGCTTGGACCATACTAGCTGATCAATTTGATTGCATTGACATATCTGTTCAGTACACCATTAAAAATCAGCTGAATGACCTGAGAATGAAAAATGCAGGTGATACTCAATGCTATGTATCAGTGCACATCTCTGCAAATGAACACTTATCATACATGGGGGCACCACTGAACAACTTGGAAGCCATCTATTTATTGCTTTGTGGATTGCCTGCCACTGGCCTATGGACATGTGTCCACAAAATTATTGAGTCAGATCTCTCTTGCACTCATCTGTCTAACATATCAACCCTAGCATCCAGCCCATCCACTTTGAGCAACTTATCCAGCAATAATCTGTTACAATACACACTTTTTGGATTGTTAAATTTCATTCTCCTCTTCAACTTTCTTCTGTAGATTTCACATACTGTGCCATGCGGCACTTTCCATTTTGTTCAAACTCCCCTTTCTCGTGCTGTGCTGCCTTTCTTTATTTTTAGCTACAAATATCTCACACAGTGGAGCTGGTCACATGGCTGCACCCTATGACATCATCAGCCACTGCTTCCATCAACTATATAGTACACATGTACAAATAACCTGTAGTTGTAACAACCAAGAGTTAGTTACTCTGGCGCACAACTCAGACAAGCAAAAAAGGAATATACCAATCAACAGTATGTACTGTTGACTGGTCAGAGAGTAATAAAAGGGATCACCCCTTAGGTTTCAACAAGTTAGTTGTGAGGATACAACAGGAGGACTCGCTGAGGAGTCTCCTGGATTTATTGAGGTATTTATATTACTACAGGTTATTTGTACATGTTGTACTATACAGTTGATAAAGCAGGGGCTGATAATGTCAGAGGGCATAGCCCGTGTGGCCAGCTCCACTGCATGAGAGACTTGTAGCTAAAATAAGAAGAAAGGCAGCACAGCGCAAGAAATAGGAGTTTGAACAAAAAAAAAGTGCCGCATGGAACAGTGTGAGAAAACTACAGTAAAAGGTTAAAGCGGAGAATAAAAATAAAAGGAAAGGTCCAAAAATGTGTTATTGTAACAGTAGTAGTATAAATACCCAATAAATCCAGGAGACTCCTCAGCGAGTCCTCCTATTGTTTACCCACAACAAACTCAATCTTATCCAAAAGGTAACCACTCCCCTCACTTCTTTATAGCTTTGTCTGAGTTATGCGCCAGAGTATACAAACTCTTGGTTGTAACACAATCCTTACCTCTTTATGCTTTTGGGAGGTCAGAACGGGTACTCTTTTTGAGATGCAACTAACACCATCATGTGTGAAGCATTTTAAATGGGCCAGGATTCAATCTCCTCCACCTGGTCCTGGTTCAGAGTATGCAAACTCTGCTCTGCAACAAGTTCCTGCAGACAGCATGAATTCACACACTGGTCTTGGTGAGATGATAAATAATCCATCTGGGACATATTGCACTTGTCCACTTTGCGCTAAATGTCGTCGCTTTGATCATGACACAGAACACTGCTATCAAGAGGGTGGGGAAATGGCAGGGCAAGCATCATGGCAGCAAGACAAAGGGTCTCAACTCACTATTCCACCAGTTGTGGTTGCTGCCACTGCTATTGCCATATTGTCACCATCATTTAGCTCCAACGCTTGCAACGATCACTTTTGTGACCTCTCATGTGCTGTGCTTAATGCTGACTTGAGCAACATTACCCATAATATTAAGACCATCCTTGATTGTGGGACAATGAGCCATCTAATCCTTGACAAATCCTACTTCTGGACTTACACATCTGATGACAGTGTTCAAGTTTGAACTACCAATTGTGGCTTGCTGACTACTTGAGGATGAGGTGATTGTGTTGCTATACTGAGTATCAATGGTCAAAAGCATCACATTCATCTTTGTGACTGTTTACATGCACCTGATGCAATACTCAATCTGCTCTCAGTGGGACATATGGTCCAGAAAGGCTGGGAATTTCAATTCTGGGGGAACAAAAACAGATGTGACCTCATATATCAAACAATGTCCATAGGGACCATTGCAATGACAAACAATCTGTGCTATGTGGACCTTGCATTTGTTTCACCGGTAACCACTCATGACACTCACTCTGAATTCACAGCATTCATCCCCACCATCACAACCTGGGATTTGTGGCATGTACAATTCAGACACACAGGAGGAAACATTGCCAAGCTCTTTCCTTCAAGCGCACAAGGTGTAGATGTCACAGCATCACACTCCCAGTCAAAATGTGAGTCTTGCGTTATGGGGAAACACCTGCATGAACTATTCCAAACTTCAAACTTGCCTCATTCAACATCCTTTCTCCAACTCATTCACTCATATGTATGTGGTCCATTTCCCACCACAACCATACATGGAAAACATTATTTCATCTTGTACTTAGATGATTACACTAATATCATCAATGTCCAACTTCTCTTCACCAAAGATCAAGCTCTCTCTGCATGGCTTCTGGTCAAAGCTCAATGGGAGAACCGCTTCAATGCAATGGGTAAATTGTTTCAGTCAGACAATGGGGGAGTGTTAGTTTTGGTGATTCTGCACCTTTGTGCTACCTACATATTTTCATTCCTTTCTCTATCTATTCCTCTATCATTCAGTATTGATTGTGTTCTCTATTATTTTGCCTTTGTGGCTGCTTTGTTTACCTTTGTTTACAAAACTTTGGACAGTACTGCAGAGTCCAATGCTTCCTATTCTCTAGTTACTCACATTGGACTCTAGGTACTGTATACCTTCTGTACTCTTTAATAATCCAGTTACTCACATTGGACTCTAGTTTCCAATCTCTGATTGCTCTCAGCAAGTGGCTAGACACTTCCTTTAAGCTTTGTTCTTAATAAGGAGAGTACATTGGAAAAGAGTTTGAGGACACATTGATAGCAAGTGGGGTTGAACGCTGGAAATCAGTTGCTTATGCCCATTAACAAAGTGGGAAGGCTGGACGGGCCATACATACAAATGAAGGGAGGGCTTTAGCTGCACTTTTTGGTGCGTGACTGTCTGCTGGATACTTTGGCGAGGCCATACTTCTCATTTCTTACCTGTGGAATCTCACAATAACTTGAACTCTGCAACCCGGGATTACACCCTTTGAAATGCTGCATGGGCATAAACCCAACTTATTGTTAGAATATACTCTAACATACCAATACCCCATAGGATAATACCTCTGATTTGTAAGCCAATGCAGTATGCAGCAGCTATACTGTGTAAGATGTCCGTGGTTGCATGTCATGTTTAAGATCCTATATTGTATAACCTTGGCCATATAGCTCAATTGGTAGAGCAACTGGCATGTATCCAGAAGGTTCCAGGTTCAATCCCTGGTTTGGTCAATATCCAATTTTATCACTTATCACATCTACGTGTCTTTGGTTTGAGATGTTTTTCTCGCATCCCTCCTGAACTGCGTGCCAAAAATGAATTCCACTCAAAACCCTCCATATTCATGGGAAATCCGGACAACATGAAGAGCTGGCATTTATGCAACCTCACCACAGGCAGCTTTTATAATTACAGGGACATTATTATAATAGACATACCAGCACCTACTTACACTTTACTTTTACTTTTTCCAAGTCACATGACCAGTCATATGACCATTTACTTTACTTTACATTTTCGGACTTTTCATAGTCACATGACCAGTCATTTGACACATCACCTGACCAGTGTCTAGGCCCACCATGTGACTGGTCACATGCAAAATATCGGACTTTAAACTATATTTACAACTGTACAGTACCTCATGTATTTTAGTATATATACAGAAGCAATACATGGGGAAGGACTCAGCAAGTCCTCCTGTTGTCTACCAACAACTAACTTGGTTGTACTTTGAGGGGAAATCCCTCCTTTTCACTACTCTTCTGCTTGTCTATTGTTGTGCTCCAGTGCCCCAAGACTGTGTCTTATTGGTGTTGTCACAGATGTGATCTTTGATGAGGGATCAATCATGTGAGGCAGAAAGGAAGAAGATGACAAAACTCACCACATCATCACATTTGCTGGAAAACTCAAAGAAAACATATATATGCAACAGGTTGGAGGATTTGAGCAATATAGCACTGTAGGAAAAATGCTTGTTTGCCATATGATCTCATCCATCTATGGCTTGAAACAAGTGGCCTTAAACTGGTATGAATTATTATCCACCAATCTTATCGGTCTGGGATTCCACAAGTGCAAAGCAGACAATATTGTCTTCATTTTTGATCAAGAAAAGACCGGAAAATATGTCACATATGTAATAGCTTGTCATGTTGATAATGGCCTTGTAAGATGCAATGATGGAGACTTCTTTATATGGGTTAAAGACAAGATTGTGAAACGGTTTGGACTCAGTGATTCATCACAAAATCAAAAACATAGAAAGCTCTTACCAAAAACTCATCAGAGAGCTAATGCATTTTGCCACCTGCACAAGACCAGATGTTGCCCACACTGTACACTGACTAACACAATTCAATTCAACTCTAACAGCACATTATTATACAAGCACAAAGAGAGTTTTATTACCTGAAAGGAACCACATCTCTAGCTGTTCATTTTGGGAACACAAACAATGATCACTCAATTCATGGATACAGTGATGCTGATTGGGCAAGTTCACCAGAAGACAAAATATCAATCACGAAATATGCATGGTTCTTCTATGGGGGTATTATCTCTTATGCGTCAAAGAAACAACCAATTCATGCACTTTCATCCACCAAATCAGAGTATATGGCACTGACTGCCTGTATGCAAGAGGGACTATGGATCATCCAGATGGTTCACTCCCTCAATCAAGACCTGCAACTGCCGCTTCACATTTGAGCAAACAACACAGCAGCAATATCACTATCCCAAACCTCCAACAATCACTCATGCACCAAACACATAGACATACACTTTCATTTCATCAGTAAACATGTGAAACTTAGACATTTTAAATTAGAATGGGTGCCTACACACAAGAATACAGCAGACATTCTTACAAAACCTTTACTGAAGACTTCCTTTCAAACTCATTGTTCAGGACTTTCATTAGTAATTCATTGAGAGAATACGTAGAAAGTCAACTCGTTACTTCAACCATAGAGACAGATCACATGATTTAGACTCTTTAGATAGCACTGGAATTTACTCTTGTTTGCTCCTCAGTTGTTGATCATCAACGCTGAGGTGCATATAACATTACATTGACATTTCTTGTAGACTAATGTTCTATCAGCTGTATTTAGCTTTTTTTAACCACTTCAAGGAAGAAGGCAAACAACAGGGACCAGAAATAAGACAATAGCGGTATTCAGAATAAACCTGCTATTTTTTGCAGGCGCCTGCCCAAAGTAGCTTGCTAACTCACACTGTCGCCAAAAAGAAGCCCTGAGCACTTTGATTTACATAGTGTATATTTTCAGATATGGTAGTATCCAAAAAATCAGCAAGATACTCAGCCATCAATAAGATCTATATAACAACCTCATGGAATACACTCTGTAGTCATCCATCAACATGTTGATGAATTGCCCCACACTGCGTGAGCAGCACTTGGATGCTCTCGGCAATGCTTTTGTATTGACCCAAGTTGACATTGTCCGAAACATTCTCCTTGATGCCTTATCCTACACAGCTGAGGAGGGCTTGCACACTCCTGCCTTGCGGATTTCCCCTGACATGAATGTGTCCCCCTTATCCCATCATTTTCAGACTCTGACCAGTCCATGCACTCAGACTCAAATGCTAAAATGTCACTGGAGTTGCCGCTTGATTTGGAGATTGGGGGGAGAGGACACCAAGCAGCGGCTTGGAATCTGATGATTTGTACTTAGTGGATGAGCTTGCAATAATCTAATTTGTAGCTATCATCTACATTGTCCTGCACAAAGGTATCATGAACACCCGGGTTTTCTTCCCCAACAATCCAGTTTTTTGCCAGCCTCAGGTGAACCTCCTTGAGTGGTCCCAACATCACAGTGTCAAATATTTCCTTTGCAAGCTTCATATGATTCCAATCCACATTTGACTCCATAGTTGTTCTTATTGAAAACAACCCCATTTTTCATAATAACTCCAATAACCTCCGGTACACTTTCTCTCTCCAACTCGCCATCTTTCTCAACCATGTTGGCCATTACATTAACACCTCTTCATGTGCAGATATTGCAGGGTGGTCAGGAGTATCAGTAGGGAGTGTTGATAGCTGTACCAAGTGCATTGTGATTGCACTGTTGGCCCTGCATGATTTAGCATTCTCCCCCCCCTGTCATATCCATACTATCCATACCGGAAGACAGAACTCCGGCATTTCTGAAGGAGTTGTTTTCTGCTCCTTTTCATCCTCTACTTCTCCTCTGTCCATTTCCAACGAGCTAGGGACTAAGGTCCATGGAAGGGCTTAGCGCACGAGCTAAGCCAATTCCCCATCTTGCCCCCCATACTCTATTACTCCAAAGAGGCCACGGTTCTGACAGTATATTTGAACTGCACTTCCAGGACCCTCCGTATCCTCCATGGTCAAACACGTACAAAACATCTTTCAGGGCAACACCAATTTCCTTAGTTTTTCTGCTCGACAACCCCTAAAGGTGCGATCAATCTCCATGGCTCTAGAACGCCTGACCTCACCTTGTACCCCCAGGGGTTCCCCAATCCCTCCCGGCTCACCTCATAACCCAACCCCTGCTCCGCATTCTCCAATACCCACTCTCGCAGACTTACCCCGCATGGAGCTGGAAAACAAGGATGTCGAAGACCTCACGCTGGCTCAAGCCTTGCTTGCCCAATCATCCAGAAATACCCCTAATGGTGTCTCCGCACGCACTAAGATTAAGGAGCTGGACACTTTCAATGGCTTTGACCCACAAAAAATTTGCTCCTTCATTGTGCAATGCCAACTGAATTTCAACAACTGTCTGGGCGCATTCCGAACTGACCGAGCAAATATTAACTACGCTATCTCCTTCCTTAAGGGAATGGTGTTAGATTGGTTTGAATCAGATATCCTGACCCCAGACAACCTCACTACCATTCCTATCTGGATGGGTGACTACTCCGAGTTCCTCTCTGAGCTCCACTCCAATTTTGGGCCTCACAACCCCATTGGAGATGCGGAGTCACAGATCAAGCACCTCCAGATGTGCCACAATCAATGTCTACATGGGTATATGGTGGAATTCAATTGTCTCACCTCCCAAATCCAAGGATGGGGCAAGGGCGCACTCTGACATCAGTTCTACAAAGGACTCCCTGCAAGGATTAAAGACAAAATCTCCCACATTGAAAAACCAGACTCCCTTGCGGAGTTACAGACCCTTGCTCAAACCATCGACTCTCGCTACTGGGAACGACACAACAAAGTCAGCAGGGAAACTACCACCCAGCCCAAATCCTCATTGAGCACCAATACCATGTCTTCCTCCAAACTGTCCTCTTCTATGTCCACCGCAAAGTCTGCAACCCGCGGAAACTCCACTTCCCATTTGCACTCCCACCACTCCCACACTTCAAAATCTCTGGACTTGACCAACAAGTTGGGCAAGGACAAGAAACTTACTCCGGAAGAACGCAAGCACTGTTTTGACAACAACCTCTACCTGTTCTATGGTCAGCCTGGGCATAATGTGAAGTCCTGCCCCAAGTCAACTCCAGTGCCGCAAAAGCTCATGCCACTACAGCAGTTCTGGAAAGCAAACCGGAAGTCGCTGAGGCAAAAAAGTAGTCAGCACTCCTCCGCGCTCTGCACAGGTTGAGGACTGTGACCGTGCACTAACAGAGATACTTCTCAATGTGTCTGCTCTTTCCAATACCAACTCCCTCCATGTAAATCTTACCTCCAAATCTCTTCCAAACATTTCTTTTACAGTGCTAGTAAACTCTGGGTTGTCACATTGTTTTCTAGACACTGTCTTTGTGAATGCTAGCCCACTTTCTCCCTATACCGTTACTCCGATCCGACTCTGCTTATTTGACAGAATGTCAAACTCTGTTATCACTAAGGCAGTAATGTCCCCTATTGGAGATAACCATGTCCAGTAACCCTTGGATAGACCATATAAAATCTTTAAATAGATCTGCTGTTCCGGTGGCTGTAATAGTTTTGTTTGTGGGTACAAACACAATTTCTTTGGAGAAGCAGTCCACAGCCACCATTACTACCCATTTGACTTGGGCAAATCTATTATAAAATCAACCAATATATTTTGCCAGGGACTAGCTGGTATTGGGTTTTGCATAAGTTTACAGGCCGGCGGTTTATGAGAGTTTTTAGACATAGCACAGCGCAGGCAAGGTTTTACATATCCTTGTATGCCTTTGACCATGCTAGGCTATATGTATCTGGAGATCAACTGCATTATCCATTGCCACCCAGGGTACCCAGCTACTAGTGTGTCATGATGTCTATCTACTGTCTTAATCCCTGCAGTCATAAAACATCTTTCCATAAATGATGTTTATTGCCATCAAGGCACTACTGAATTATCACAGTCATAGTCAAATTTGGGCTCTTCAAGTTGCATAGTAAGATCAATGTTTGTCCCAGTTACTGAAGGCCCGAGGGCAGAAAATGTAACAAAAGGTGCTGCAGAATACTGTGGAAGTTCAAGTCTAGGATTTGGATACGGCCTTGGACTGGGTCCTGGCAATAGATGAGATGATTGTTGGTATGGGTTGCAAAACATGGTTTAACCCATTACCACACCAATACAAGTCTGACACATATTACTAACCAAAGAAGATAAAAGTTGAGGAGAAGCGGCCAACATTTGAACATTAACTTGCACAGATTGCTTGAGATCATCCCAATGGGTCCACTAAAGCATGAAAATCCTTAAGGTAAGGTCAGAAAACCAAACCATTATGATTTATTAGTAGTCCACAAAAATGACTTGGAGATAACATTCAAAGACAGCAAGCCATTATTTCAAGCCAAATTAAGATCTCTGACTTGAAAGCCAACTTACATTTTACTGATGAAAATATTGTATAAATCCTTGATAGTAAGTGCCTTGTGAGTGAATATCATAATGTCATTATTGCTAGTTTCATAGCTTGGGGGTGTCCAATATATGGGGAAGAAGCTTGCAGTGAATTTGAACACCAGTTGCAGTAACTGGAAGTTATATAATATAAATAAAGCTCAGGCTAAATAAATAAAACTGTTAGAGATGCAAGCGGAGCTGTACAAGAATGTTAGATTGTGATAATATTGGAAGTTGGAACATAAAAAGTAAAAATGAAAGGATGTGACAGGAAGTACCAATCTTGGTGCTGTGAAGCTGTTGGTGAACTCAAACTCAAACTTAGTACCTGTGGAGAATGGAAGCTTTGTGCAATGCACCACATCCATGATGGAAATTCATTATCCTCCATACCCTTTCTACTAGTCATGGTAGAGTAGTAATCAGTGAAATCACTCAAGCAGCACCAATTACAGTCTGAGTAGTATAACAACCAAAGTTTCTATACTCTGGTGCACAATGATGACAAGCAAAGGAAGGTGAGTGAAGGAGAGCGAGGATAATCTCCCTTACGGTAGGACCAAGTTTGTTGTGTGTAAACAACAGGAGGACTAGCTGAGGAGTCTTCTTAATCTATCAGAATATATATACTATTACAGGTTATTTGTACATGTGTACTATACAATTGATAAGTGTGGTTGCTGATAATGTTATAGGGTGCAGCTCTTGTAACTAGTTCTACCACGTGAGAGAGTTATAGCTAAAATAAATGGAAGCAGTACAGTATGAGAAAGTGAAAGTAAAAGGTGGAGTTTGAAATAAAAAGAAAGTGCCCCATGGCACAATTGTTCAAAAATGATAAAGAAAGTTAAGGAGGAAAAGGAGAGTTGAAAGTCCAAGAGTTGTGTATTGTAACAAGTAGAATGCCAATAGCAGCCCCAAAGACACGGGAATTCCAGTGAATACTGTAGTACAAGGGTTTAAGTTGTGCTTAAATAAGGCTAATCTACTCACACCTCTGTTAGGCAAGTTTCCTTATCTCAGGCCTTAAATACAGACAGTGAGCCAACCCAAGAATTGACAACATCAACTACCCCCACAAAACCTCCCTGTGTAATTCAATCAACAACTCACCGGCCATATTACAGATTGTTGATTTCTCATTACTCTGTACAACAGTCACAATATCCTCCAACCCCAGTCCTTCCACTCAAGTCCGCCAACCTGCCAAAGGAGCGGACTTTGTGGGCCGTAGTGCTAATCCTGGAGAAAATCTGAATACTGCTAGTATATTTGCTGAGGTACTTGCAGGTGTTCATTCTGATCTCCGCTAGATAATATGAGGCTTTTTAGGCCATGCTTCTGGTAACAGTTTGCACGTCTATTATAACCATGTATACTGACTGACTTTACTAGTATTGCCAATGTTCCCACCACCCCTGTACAATCTTCCCTCAGCTCCTCCACAAATCTTTCTGGCCTTAGGCTTATTGACGAGTTTGACATTGAGTACTCTTGGCCCAATGAGTCTGGTCACACTACAAAATTTGCCAATACTCAGGTCAGGCTACTGCCAGTGGTGAAGGTCACAACAATAGTGTTTCAAGCTATGTGAGTCATAGCCTGGGAGTTGCTGTCCCTCTGGTTCTGGTTCTGGTTCTGGATCTGGACCAGTACCAGCATGAACATAATTCCCAGGCTAATTGATTCAATGATCTGAGTCTAGGCTTAAACACCATGTGCCAGATCCAACCTAGTTGCGGGCCCAGTAAATTAACACCTGCCTCACACTGAACAGTTATTGTCTGGCAGAAAAATAACTTCAAGTTTGGACTAATGTTGTACCTCAAATTTATGCACAACTCTTTTGTTGATTATTATGATTATGTGCTTATTGTTGCTGCTTCTCATATTATGCCTTATAACTATGCCAGTAGTAGTAGTGTAATGTAATGTGTTTTACCAGTGTAAGATATATCATCAGAAACCTAAATATCTTATACTACATTTTCACTCTACTGGCAGAGTCAATGAGCATCGGCTGTTATAATTTGAAATGTATGCTATACCATGCTTTCTTGTTGCTCTCTCTAAACCTGAGGATACCAATTATGTCCTCAACTGCCTAGGGTTACAGGCTTCAAGCCAAGGTTCAAATATTTGTCTGAGTGATGATAGTAAACTAAAATAAAAAATACAGCCTGGCAGTTAGCCCAAAATGGAAACTGTTCCTAGTAATAATAATTAACTGAACCATTGAGCCAACTTGAATCACGTCAGACATTGTTTCTGCCCCAGCCCATATAGTTATAATTGCCTGTCTTAGAAGGGGCATTATTACCTGATAATATTACTATATAGATGAGGCCAGCGGAGTCTGGTGGAGTGTACCAGCTGGGCCATGTTAGACATAATATTATTGTGCCCATCACCAACAACCCAGCTGGGTGAGAGGACACCCATCTTAGACAACACAGCTGGGTGGTAGGGTGCCCCGTCTGCAACAACCCAGCTCATCAGGAAAAACACTTTGGCTATATAGGCTCTTATAGTACTATAGTTGCAAAAATAGATGTCATAGTGATTATAGTTGTAATAGAAACCCCAGCATCTATTCAGGAATAATGTGCTCTTATAGTACTCTTATAGTTGACTATAGTTCCAAGAGACTCGTATAGTAGCATCACTACTATGACAGCATTTGCTATAAACATAGCATTTACAGCATTTACAGCCCCCATTGCACTCATAGCACTCATTTAATACATTGATACTATGGTAGCATTTAGGGTAGATATTACACTCAATGCACTTGTTACACTCAGAGCAGCTATAACATGCATTGCACTCAATAACCAAATAATGCAATAAAAACAGCACAATAGTGTTTATACTTCTAGCAACAATGAAATGTAGGATACGTGAATAGAAAACAAGGAATACCATCAAGCAGCATGCTCAACAACAGTGACAGTGCCTTCCAGGGCTTCAAAATCAATACCAAAATCTTTATCTTTCATATGATTGTCATCAATCCATAGATAGTGAAGATTTGCCAGATTTCTATTTTGATAAATCAGTAGCTGTAAAAGCTCAAGTATTGATGCTTACGAAATATCCTGGTACAAGCTATCTCTCATATTCTTCATCCAGACAGGACTTTTCCTCTGAAGAACTGATAACTTTTTGAAGTAGTATCCACCTAAGCAATATTGAAAACAAGTCAACGTGAATATGCAACAACTTACCTGATTTTGAAAACATTCTCTGAGAACTCAAGCGTGGCCTTGTTGCCATTCACATATGCTCTGAGTGAACATTCAATCTGAAAGCATAATAAGATAACCACCTGGATAAAGAAGGCTAGAACTTACAGCTGTGGTGATAATTGCAAGTAGGGCTAAAGGGATGCCTTTAAAATGTTCAGGGTAGTGCACACCCTCACCCTTACGCCCATACCACTGATTATGAATTAAGTCCTTGAAGATCTAATGGGAAAAAGGTTTCTGCTTGTTAAATGTTTTGGCCTTAAAAATGGTTAAAATTAACGTCAATATGGGGAAAACAATAGCTCACCTTGATGTCAAGATCACCATCAGCAAATGCACCAGCCTCTAAAAGCTATATTACAACCTCCTTGATCTGAGCCGGTGTCATATCACCAGGAATATGGTGATGAGATGAGCTTTGGCTACAATTTCTCCTTGGACCTGGGCAACAGCAGACCAAACCTAGTAAAAAGAGTCGCTGATTAGTATGATATTATTAGAGGTGGTGATACATACATAGTCAATCAACATGTTTTTGATTTCTTCATTGCTGTTAACCTCTAGAAGCTTGGCTTGTAAATCTTCTCTGCCTTTTGAAGCATTGATGAGCCTTTTCCAAGAAAATTTGGAGCGGCAGGTAGGTGGAGGGAATCCTTCTTGTGTCACAACATGCAGTCTCATGACAGCATGCCCAGCGGTAGCAAGATCCAAAAGATGACTGGGAAATATATCAAGGGTGATCCTATGCCTTTTCCCCATCTTTGGCTGTAAAGAAAGAACTGCACGTGTAGAAATAGAGGTAGAAGTAGAAGACATCCTGGACAATGGCATAGAAGACTTTCTGGACAAACTAGTCCTCTTCTGTATTACAACAGGCCTGAACTTGGCTGCTATATAGGCTGTTTGCTTTATGAATGTAAGAAGTATTCAGAAACATACTTGATTATCCAGAATAAGTCTATCAACATCTTAGCAGCACAAAAGTATTTTTCTCTAGGAATAATTATATCTTACCATCTGGTCTAGCACCCTCATCCTCATCATAATCATCGCTGCTTTCATCCTCACCTATGTGTGGCTTTTGAGTTAGGACCCCTTGAAAATCTTCCTCATCAGAATCATTGTTGATGGCTTGTCTTTTTCTAGAAGGGTTTGGTGGTGTAACTGGGTCAACATCATTAAGATCATGTTCTTCTTCTTCCATTAAACTAGCTGCTCTCTTTCTCGTTGCTGAGGGAGATCAGTGTATTCTTTATAAATCCAGAATACATGTCTTACCTATGCATTTGGCTTCCATTGCCTCTTTCTGAGCTGCCTGGGTAGATCGTACCCTGGCATTTATAGTCATGAGGTGCTAGTACTCCTCAGCACTTAAAGTAACTGCATCATTTTGCCCCTTAGAGGCATTAGCTTTAGATTTACCCTTCATATTTTGTTTGCCTGCCATCAAAGTTGACCAGCCTATGAAAAAGTAAACAGAGAATCAAGTATAACAGAAAAGTGAAAATTTACCCACAGAGTTTGAGGCAGGCATTCTGGTCAGAATATGAATAACTCCTGACAATACCTCTGAGAATTGCTGAAAAATGCATACAGGAGTAGTATAGTAGTACTATAAACAGTGTATCTATGCAAAGGTCCTCATGGCTTCATTTTCCTGCCAGCTATTTCTATCAGCAGCCCATGAAACAAATCCATGATCAGTATGAAGTAATATAGATGCTCGTTTACCTTCATAACAAAGGTTGAGATGAGTGATATCAGATGACCTGAAAATTGCAAAGTCCTCAACCATCACAAGAGCTGCCCCCCTGAATGTTCCAATGGGGAGAACCAGGCAAAACTCCTGGTCCTTGCTGTCATGGTGAGCCTTTGTCTGTACATTGATATTGATGACCAGTGAGAGGAAGGGGGAGGCTGGGGAGTCATGGTTTCCTGGTAAGATGGACACAATTTGTTCAAGCATCTGGCACTCTTCAGGCAGGTGGGTTTGCGTCTAATACATCAATGAGATGCCTGTGAGAAAATATTGAGAACCACTTACAATACCATGTATCCAGTTAAACAGCTCTTCAAAGATGACCTTGAGGGACTGAAACATTTTCTGGTTGTCTTTGACGTCCTTGAAGATGTATGGGTTCATCTGGCTGTGGTTGGTATGTACACAGCCAACTTTGTCAAGCATAGAAGGAGGGATATCAGACAGAGCTTCATGACCCTGTGGAGTGTCAGCAATAGGGAACATATTATAAATAAACAACTCCACCTTGGTACAGTGGCAGTTGTACCATGACAAGTAAAGTGCTTGAAAGGTAGAGTCAGCATCGACACTAGTGTTCTTCTTTGTCAATAGATCTGGGGTCCCAAACACTGCTAGTAAATTGTCTGTAAGAGAATTTTGTATTTTTGCTGGAAGACTCGTGCAGATGAATGCCATTAGTGTCTCATCAGAGTTACGGATATCCACCAGGGAGCTTCAAACAAGTGTGAAATCAGTCATTGGAAATTTGTGAAAGACATACCTGGGAATAGCATCCATGGGGATACAAATGTAGATGTCATCAGATATCTTCATTCCTTCTTTGTATTGCTTGCGGAGCTGACAACAAATAAGCTATTATATGTATTATATCATACTAAAGATGAATTACATACCTGTGATTGCAAATCATGTATGTCATTAACTCTGTTGCCCTTCTCAGCACGCTCTTGTTCACACTCCATCCAGATATTGTTGGCTTGATGATCATGCTATGCTTGAAAATGCTTATTTTGAGGCAGTAATCGGTCATAGGCGGTGCGTATGACTATCTTCTCCTTTTCTGCGCCTTTTTGCTGAACAGTTGGATGTCCATCTTCACCATCATCTTCTGAAGATTCCAGATAGTCTTGTGAATCTGATAGAGGAGGGCTGTAAGGTCTAGGGAGGAAAAATGTCATTGGTGCGAGGAGCTCATAGCCAAGCTGATGGAGCGGGATAGGCGGGTTAAGGCTGGTGTCAACAATAGTATCGTAACATGACACCCAATGTTGAGCATTTTGATTGTGTAGTGTAAAATTGCTATGTATAAAAAAAATCAGGCAACAATGTGAATGCAAGAATGAATGAGACAAATAAGTGACTTACTTAAAAATCACCGAGTCAATAAATCTGTCGGAGGATGCAATGTCAGTGCAATCAAACTCCCGAGCAACTTGGTGTTCTGAAACCATTGATGGGGAGAACATTGAGGCCATACTGATTGGAAACAGATGGTGCATGCGACTGATAGTGGGTATGATATGATTTATTATCAGATCACCCTCCACGGTTCCTAACTGAAATATAAGCCAAACAATATCCTTTGCCATAGTACAGGTCACACTCACCAGGGATGGGAGATTGTAGAAGGTTGGCCAAGTCCCATGGCAGGGTGCCCTCCATTCCGGAAATGGATATCCTGAGACCAAGTCCTGCCACCAGAATCAGTATATAGATTTACCTGCCTCCGGCAATTGCAGCAAATTTACTGCCAATTGAATGCCAGTCTTGAAAAGTTTGTTTGCTGGGCTTTGTGGGGAGATGGGCGACTTCTGTATTGTAAATACTGTTGAGAGACTGTCGGGTACAGAGTTTAATGCTAGAGAAAGTGTAGTGTACTAGATCAAATTCATCAGATGCTAACAGATATCAAAATGACTCACCTCTGACATTTTGTCACCAGCTGCATGTAGTTTATCATCAACAGGAAGTTGATGCAAATGTCCTTCCCATTAATACCCCTACACCTCTGCACTACGGAACCCAAGCTCTCATCCAGATACTCACTCCCCTCCATTGCCGACTTTATGCTATCAATCCGAATACTGGGGTTATGGATGTCCGAGTCCCAGTGCGCAGACGCCAAAGTTGCAATGATGGCATTGCCATTCTCGCTAGAGTTGAGCCAAGGACTAGTTTGTCTTCTCCAAACACCACCACCATCTCTCCTTGACAATGCAAATGAGACACCCCCCCTCGGACACGGCTGTTTGGACTTGGCAGGTTCGTTAGATCCCCCACTATTTTTGCGAAGGCGACATTGCTTTTTTTGTAGGCTATGGCGTGTTGCTGATGGTGCTAACACTGTTGATGCTGCTGGTGCTGTGACACTTGGACATCTCTCATCCAAATGGTGTCGACTACTAGTCCTCCTTGGCACAACTTGCTGGGAAGGTGGCGATCCCATATCTACCTGAGGCAGTGAGAAGCTGGACATGGATTGCTGTGAAGGAGTGGCAATGAGAAGCGATGGCAGCAAGGATGTGGAAGCATGAGGCGGGGAAAGGGAGACATCAATGGGCGCATTTATAGAAGCAGGAAGAGTAGAGTTCCAATTTGCTGATGGAGATTGCCAGGGCAGGAGGCCATCCCACAGGTGTGTTGCATTCAAGTTCTCTATGCCACTAGGGTAGGTCGTATTTTGACTTGCCACCCAGGTGGAAAGCTCCTATTGAGGGATAGGATTGTGAGCTCGCTCACCTTGACCCATAAAGGATGCTGAAGACGTTGAAGACATTGAAGATCGTATGTGACTGGTCACATGATGAGCCTAGACATTGGTCAGGTGTTGTGTCACATGACTTGGTCATGTGACTATGAAAAGTCGAAAATGTAAAGTAAAGTAAATGGTCACATGACTGGTCATGTAACTTGGAAAAATAAAAGTAAAAGTGCAAAAAGTGAAGCGTAAGTAGGTACTGGTGTCAATTGTAAGACAAGTTGTGAGTATGCATGTCAAGAACACGGAGCAATACCTCAGTGTCGGATATGGATAATCTCATTTCTGGGACGTACCACCAAAACCCCGCTATTGATGCCAATTGTCCTGCCAATATCCAAATATGGGATAAGCTCGAGTGCCTGCACACTTCCCTGTTACAGATATACTGCTGCAATTTATGACAGGTAAGTCCTGAAAAAGTAATATCTGATTTTTTGAGTTATTTTAAGTGCAATACAAAACTCTCTCTGGAGATGGAAGGAAGGTAGAGAAGGGATGGCAAATTATCAGGTGCATTGTTCCTTCACCTTGCTGCTGGATATACCATTCTCATTTGCCTTTCTGAAACAGCTTCATGCCAGAGATGTCTACCATATCCCCATCTATCATTGCCATATCTCCTAACACTTCAGTAAGTCCTTTTTTGATCACATTGCATATGGATAGGCTTATAAACTTACTCCAATAGCCGCTGCTGCATCACGCTTTTCACCCATCCAAAGGTATATTTGCCGTATCTTACTTTGCTGCCCCACACTGACTACCTGGCCTTTGTCTCCTCACTGTCTGGTTCAGCAGGTTCATTATGAAGGGCCCAGAACAATATTTCCATAGGTTTATGGACCCTCTTTTGAAGAAGGAGGCTGCACTCCTTAAAGTCTACTGCGCACTGGATAATTTTCTTTTGGTAATTTTCCCTTTATCTCACATTTTTACAGGTCAATATGGGACAGAAGCCATACTACACAACATGCTGGTTTTTCTGTGTAGCCAAGATCATTACAGCTCCGAGGATTCTTCCTGGACAACAACAAGTGGCTGTTCAGACTTTACCAAACTGTGGAGTCTAGGAGCCGAGGAGGAGTGTGCTACGTTTCTCAACAACATTGTTTTGAAGGTTGACTCTGCATTACCAAGTGGTACAGCTGCTGCCTTGTGATAGTGGACTGCCGCCAACTCAGTATGTTCAGTAGAGGATGGTGGCGGCAGACAGTGTCCCAACTTGATCTTAATGAGTGCTGGCATCAGGAAAAATGGGGGTAGCTATATAGAGCTCTATAGCACTATAAGTACTCATAAAGCTATTATAGTGGTCAAACCTGTTATAGAACCTCTGCCATCTATAGAGCCTCATATAGCCCTATAAATGCTCTTATAGATGTTGGAAATTGTTGTGTGGCTGATTGAAAAAAATTAACACAAACAAGATTTGAACTCTCAACCTGCTAGTCAGCTCTTGGGTGACTAAGCAACCTACAGCCACACATCACATTTATCCACTACACCATGAGAGCTTATAAAATATATTATACAGGTTTCATATATTGACCTTTCATGGACTTAGATTATTTTTTTATTCATTGTCACTACTTATATTTGGATAAATCATTATTCTTATTTTGTGAGTATCAGGGATACAAACTACTACTTCACTAATACAGGCTACATAATTAATTAATACTGGATGATTTATTAGCCCTTTTAAGCACCTTGAACTATATTACAACTATGACCTTTACAGCTATAGGAGCTTTGTAGGCTGCTATAGGCTATAAGAGCACTTATAGTATCTTGCCTATAATAATATACTTGACTCCAAACACTTTTGGCCTCTTTCTATTATTGAACAAGTTTATTAGATTAATCCAGAGTTTGAGGGAATTATAGATACTTCTCCCCTTGGTTAAAATTTTGCCTACTACTGTGCTATAAGAGCTATAAGAGCTATGATTGCACTGATAGTACTATAGTTTCTATGAATGTGTTTATATATATAGGCGGTGGCTATATAGCAAAAGGGTTTTTCCTGATGAGCTCTGATAACCCCACCAACCCCAAAGCCCTTTTGCCAGCAAATTGGAGGAGTGTTCATGCATTAGCTGAACTCAAGGACAGGGAGAAGAACTCGGTCCCCCTCCACGAGCAGCTTTTTCAGCTAATAGGGCTGGCTTCATTCCTCAGAGCTGCATAGGGTTGCCGGCTCCATATTTTGGGCTTTGCTTTACGTGGAGCATCATTTACTCTTCTACCCTGCTGGGTACAACGGATGGAAATTCTATAATCCTACCACCAAACGAACTATTATCTCTTAAAGAGCTGACTTTGATGAGTGCTACTTCCCTGGCTTGAAAAAGACTTCTACCACTGCCATTCCTACTCAACTTTTTCCACCTTTGCTTCCCATGCCTTTGGGCCTGGATGAGGATGTCCCTGCACCAGGTCCAGGGGTAGATATTGACCCATCAGCTGTACTTCAGCAACCTCAGCACTTACCTGATGATGGGCCTGATTTTGACCTTGATGCAAAACCACCTGTGAATCAACCTCCTGAGCTTCCAGATCACCCTCCTCATTGCTCACCTTCTCCTGACTTGCCTATTGCACTGAGACACCCTGCAAGGGCTAGGAGACCACCTAGACCATGGTGGCTCCAACACAGACAATCTACTCCTGCCATTGAGAGTGATAACAGTAATAGTAGTGATTCTGAGGCAGTTAATGATGAAGTGGCACACTCCGGAGACTCTGCTGAGCCTAGGTCATTTGCAGATGCAATGAAGTGTCCTGATGCAGATAAATGGAGAGAAGCAGCCATGGAAGAGCTCCAAGCTCATGAGCACAATGGAACTTGGCCACTTGTGGAACTACCTCCTGGAGAAAAGGCAATTGGTGGCAAGTGGGTCTTTAAGATCAAGCACAACTCTGATGGCTCCATTGAGCGCTACAAGGCCAGATATGTGGCTAAAGGTTACAACCAGCGCCCTGGCTTTGACTTCCTTGAAATATTTGCACCCACTGTTCGCATCTCATCTATCAGAGTTATCCTTGCAATTGCTGCCATCCACAACCTCCATTTGCGCTCCATTGACATCTCTCATGCATTTCTCAATGGTGTCATGGATGTAAAGGTCTACATGCAGCAACCAGAGGGATTCTATCAAGGTGGTCATAATCTGGTCTGATAACTCAACAAGGCCATTTATGGGACCAAGCAAGGAGGCAGAATGTGGAACCAGAAGATGCACATTGTGCTTGAAAAACTCGGATTCAATTGCACTTACTCTGACTCTGCCATCTATGTGTTTAATAGAGGTGAAGTGCGCATTATTCTACCTGTCTTTGTTGATGACATGACACTGGTATCCACATCCAATTCTGCACTTGACCAAGCTGTCAAGGACCTCTCTCAGCACTTCAAACTTTGTGATCTTGGCCCTACTTCCTACCTACTTGGCATTTTCATCACCAGAGACCTCAGCAATTGCACCATCTCCCTCTCCCAACATCAGTACACTCTGGACATTCTGGAGCGCTTTGGCATGAAGGACTGCAAGCCTGTGTCCACTCCAATGGACCCTGGTTCACGCCTCACCAAGGATATGTCTCCCAAGACACCAGAAGAAGTGCAACTGATGAAGGACATTCCCAATCTTGCTGCTGTTGGTGCTCTGATGTATTTGGCCACCACCACTCGTCCTGACATTACCTATATTGTTGGAGCTCTTGCCAGATTCAATTCCAATCCTGGGCCCACTCACTGGGGTGCTGTCAAGCACTTATTCCGCTACTTGCAAAGCACCCTCAATCACTCACTGTCCTTGGCCCTGATCCTAATTCCACTGAACTCTTCACCACTTTCTCTAATGCTGATCATGGTGGTGACAAGGACTCTGGACGTTCTACTGGTGCTTACCTTGTCAAGATTGGATCTGATGTTGTCTCTTGGAGTTCCAAACTTCAAAGCATTGTTGCTCTTTCCACCACTGAGGCAGAATATATTGCTGCTGTTGAAGCTGGCAAGGAGATCTGCTGGATGCGAAATCTGCTGATGGAAATGGGCTATCCTATCACCTCTCCTTCCACCCTTCACATTGACAACCAATTGTTAGTTTTGGTGATTCTGCACCTTTGTGCTACCTATATATTTTCATTCCTTTCTCTATCTATTCTTCTATCATTCACTATTGATTGTGTTCTCTATTATTTCGCCTTTGTGGCTGCTTTGTTTACCTTTGTTTACAAAACTTCGGACAGTATTGCAGAGTCCAATGCTTCCTATTCTCTAGTTACTCACATTGGACTCTAGGTACTGTATACCTGTCATACTCTCTAATAATAAAGTTACTCACATTGGACTCTAGTTCCAGTCCCTGATTGCTCTCAGCAAGTGGCTAGACACTTCCTTCAAGCTTTGTTCTTAATACCAATCTGCCATCTCTGTGTCCAAGAATCCTGAACACCATGGTCGAATGAAGCACCTTGATTTACGCTGGCATTGGTTGAAAGATATTGTTGGCTCTGGCCAACTTGCTCCCACCTTTGTGCCCACTGCTGAAATGCTTGCTGATTTGTTGACAAAGGCTCTGGCTAAGCCTAAAGTTGAAATGTTCAGACAGATGATGGGACTTGTTAGATCAGGGGGGAGCTATTGCTTGGGAGGTGCAGCATCAGGGGGGAGTGTTAGTTTTGGTCATTCTGCACCTAGTTGTGCTATCTATTTTCCCTTCTTCCTAAATCACTTTCCTCTTTATTCCTTTTGCTCTATTGTTCAGTATTTACTGAGCATTCTATAAATTTGCCTTTGTGGCTGATTTGTTTACCTTTGTTTACAAAACTTCGGACTAGTATTGCAGTGTCCAGTATTCCTATTCTTTGGTTACTCATACTGGACTCTAGGTACTGTACACATTCTGTACTCTCTGATAATAAAGTTACTCATACTGGACTCTAGTTCTGTCCCTGTTAACTCTCAGCAAGTGGCTAGACACTTCCCAGAAGTTCTCAATTGGACACTT